AGACTGGTCAAGATGCCAGTCTAGATGGGAAAATCTAGACTGCTTTCAATATTGATTTCAGCCAATCAAATTCGTGAATTCGGTAGTTCCCAGTCCTTGTGAGACACAGCCATATAATAAAATAAGTTATATGCAAGTGTTCTTGTTTTATTTAAAATTCCTCAAATACATTTTTTTTTGAGCAAGTTTTGTTTGTTTGTTTGTTTGTTTTTTTTGGGAGAGGGGTTGCTGTGCTCATAAACATATGAACTCTCTAATAGCACATCTTTTTTTCAGGGGTGACACTCAGTTCTTACCAAGAAATTTATTCCCAAGGAAACTTGGTAACCAATCAATTTCAAATATTGGTATGGCTTTGATTGACATAAAATAAAATTTGGAGATGATATTAAATAACACTGATATGACAGAAACAAATTAGTGAGTATAGAACATTACCAGCTTAAGTTGTTCTGTATCTCTTGAAGGAAGAGTAACACCAAACAATTTTACTATGTTATCATGAGAGAGTCGTTGCATAGTATTCACTTCCATAAGAACCTCTCTTAGCTGTTCTTCTCCAGTATCCTTGATGGATTTGACTGCCACTAGTATCTGGTAGTAAATACAAACTCAAGGTCATCACTGTTATTTACTGATTGACTGTGTGGTGGAACTAGTCGGGAAAATTTTTGGCTTGAGGTTCAATGACATTAGGACTAAGCACAGCAGGGTCCATTCTTAACAACCTAGAGCTAACCTGTTTCCCTGACTAATCTAACCCAGCTCAGTCCCTAAGCATTTTAACATATAACCAATCATTCTCTATTTGGCCCTTTCTTCTTCCAACTTGCATCTTGCAAGGCTGGCCAGCCTCTTTGGGGCATGCAAGTACTATCCTGGCTCTTACACAGATTTTTTTACCTCAGTTCCTATTTCTAGTTGGATGATGTTTTTTTTTAACAAAAAAGAAGAAGAAGAATTAGAAAAAGAAGACCCAGTTTGTCTTTCTGCAGCTTCATTTTCTTTACTTTGTAAGTTTTCACAGTTGTAAAGAGTTCAGAATCTACATAATCCCCACTTTGCAACAATAATTACCTCATCTTTTGCATTTGGTGGTTTCCACTTTCCCAGCTCCACAATACCATACTGCCCTTCACCTAATCCTTGCACAATAATTAGGTCTTCTGGTTGAATAATTTGATGGCCAGGGCTAACAGAAGGGGCTGAGTCACTCTTCTTGTCCTGTTAACATTTGTCAAGTAATTAGTTTTTCATAAAAATAGAATGAGGGCAAACTTAACAAGTCTTAAGTCTGCTGTGATAATTCTTTCCCAACTTTTCCATTTTTGTTCATTATTTGTTGTTTTACATACATACATAGGTTAATTGACCACTCCCCATAGGGGCTTTTCAGGGCCAACACCCACCCATCCCACCCAGGGGAGGACATCCACCACAAAGTAATCTCATGCCTGGGAAAGTAACGTCTCCTACCCCTAACCCTGCAGAAGACTGGGCCTACGGTTTATTCGTCCTTATCCGAGAAGACTAGAATATCTATCCATTTCTTGATTATAGAAGGGTAGCAAATTCTCCTCAATTATTTTAAGACCATGAATATTGGTCCGGCTGGGGCACGAACCCTCGCCCTCCCACACAACACAATCCGGCGCTCTAACCAATTGAGCTAACCGGGAGGTGGTTAGCTCAAATGGTTAATGCATTCATAAATGCATTCATAAATGCTTGCTTATATTTTGATAGCCTGCCTCTCTTGACTAGCATTGGGTACCTCCTGCCAACACAATTTGCACTACTCATTAAATGAGACTAGCACATATTAAATCTAACTGGTATTGGCTATCTATATGGCAGGACAATTGGCACTATATATCAAATAAGAAAAGTAGTTGAAGATTTTTGTTGTTACTGCAATGTTGTTCTCAATTTCTGAAAATTTCTTACCTCAACAGGAAAAAGAGAACATTAACAACTATAGGGCAATATTGGGTATCAAATCTGACTGCACCATTTAAATCTTCTGCGTTATTTAAATCCTGAGGGGTTTGTTTTCAAAACTGTATGGGGATTTTTGACATTCTTATTAGTTGCTTTGCAATCTTTCTGTCAAGTGTGCTTGTCAAACTTTACTAATACATGTTATATTGGAAGCCATTGCAGGGGCCCTGTTACAAACAGCAGAATTCTCTCACACAGATTTCAATTTGGTATCTTGGCAGTCTTTGGACCAAAATTTCAGGTCAATCCAAAAAGTTTTCTTACCCTTAAAAAAATTTGTTCGAAGAAGACACATTTGCAGAAGTACGACTTTTTCACCTAGCCTGAGGCGAATAATTGTTTTAGTATAATTTCAAGCTGAACAACAGAGAAATGTCTAAAATCATAACATTTTAGTAACATTTATTAACTTTTTATTTTAACATTTTATATAAACTGCATGGAGCGGTTTATATAGCATCATATAAGGAACCGCTCGACCAATCAGATTGCTGGAAACTCTTTGTTCAGCTCTGAAATTATACTAATATTAATTATTAGCTGGTTAGTAGTGACTACAACAGACATGTATAATTATGCCATTCAAAAGCCTGGTATATTAGCTCAAAGTTTCATGTCGATAATACAATCATTAAAACAGCGCGACTTAAGAAAGTGAAAATACTTTTTACAGTTGTTAATTCGCTAAGAATTAAATTGATGTATTATTCATGACTACTGAAGAGCGATTCTTGCAAACCGCAGTGAATCAAAATCCTTCTGTTCTTCAGCTGATAGGGATTTAACTGGATTAACATCAACGTGAACACGATTTCAAAGGAAAATCAACACATCTCAACAAAGTTCGAATTCCTTCTTCCATCGGCTAATGGGCGTTATATGTCAACTGAAGATGTTAAATTTATTAAACTTGCGAATGAAGTGCACGAAGAGATCAACCATATTTTCTTTAGGGCCCAGTTAGGCAAGAAAGAGCACTCAATTAAACTGCGCCATATTTTTTTCATGTCGACCATGCATGACAAGGGCAGGTTTTGAAGATCAATATCAGTCTTCGGTATTACGAAAGGAAACAGTGGTCTTAAATATATTAGATGGACTAATAATGCTGTAAATTAAGCTCCATCTGAGAGATCGATACTAAATTAACGAAACGAGCGCGTCTCAGCACCATTTGCACTAAAGAGAATTAAACCCTCACCTTTCTCTTCGCCCGCAGAAACATAGCGAAGTTAGTCAGTACTTCGGCTTGAAAGCTTACCAAGCCATCTGTGAGTTTTTCTTCGCATCTTACGACGTTTCAAAACCCATAGAAACGTGAAAAGTTCCCAAAAATTAAGTTGTATCTAGAAGACTTTTTCTGTCTCTGATCTTTACGTCCGATGTGATTGTAGTGTCCAGTTTCCCGTCTACTTACGGTCCGTTACTTCCGGGAGTTTCCGGCTTTCCTTTCAATAATTCGAAAGAAATAACATAACTTCGGTCCGGAGGTAATCATTGCAGCAAAATCGGAAGGAAGTCATATTTCGTGGAATTGACTATGTACGTTATCATCAATTTTACGCTAGAAACTGAAAGGTTAAAGATCCGGCTTTTCCAAACATGATGTAATTTCTTCAGTTTCAGATACAATGAAATATATGAAGTTCATATATTTTGAACTGCGGTATTAGATACTTATGATGCACGATCCTTGCAGTAGATAGCGCTATTTAAGCAATAGCGAAAATCAGACCTGAAAAAAATCAGGCCTGTACGGGATTCGAACCACTGACCTCTGCGATACTAGTGCAGCGCTCTACCAATTGAGCTAACAAGCCAACTGGGAGCAGGCCGTTAAGTTGATTCGTAATAAACCCGTGAAAGTGATAAATCAGATACAATGAAATATATGAAGTTCATATATTTTGAACTGCGGTATTAGATACGTATGATGCACGATCCTCGCAGTAGATAGCGCTATTTAAGCAATAGCGAAAATCAGACCTGAAAAAAATCAGGCCTGTACGGGATTCGAACCACTGACCTCTGCGATACTAGTGCAGCGCTCTACCAATTGAGCTAACAAGCCAACTGGGAGCAGGCCGTTAAGTTGATTCGTAATAAACCCGTGAAAGTGATAAATCAGATACAATGAAATATATGAAGTTCATATATTTTGAACTGCGGTATTAGATACGTATGATGCACGATCCTCGCAGTAGATAGCGCTATTTAAGCAATAGCGAAAATCAGACCTGAAAAAAATCAGGCCTGTACGGGATTCGAACCACTGACCTCTGCGATACTAGTGCAGCGCTCTACCAATTGAGCTAACAAGCCAACTGGGAGCAGGCCGTTAAGTTGATTCGTAATAAACCCGTGAAAGTGATAAATCAGATACAATGAAATATATGAAGTTCATATATTTTGAACTGCGGTATTAGATACGTATGATGCACGATCCTCGCAGTAGATAGCGCTATTTAAGCAATAGCGAAAATCAGACCTGAAAAAAATCAGGCCTGTACGGGATTCGAACCACTGACCTCTGCGATACTAGTGCAGCGCTCTACCAATTGAGCTAACAAGCCAACTGGGAGCAGGCCGTTAAGTTGATTCGTAATAAACCCGTGAAAGTGATAAATCAGATACAATGAAATATATGAAGTTCATATATTTTGAACTGCGGTATTAGATACATATGGTG